GAGAGAGAGAGAGAGAGAGAGAGAGAGAGAGAGAGAGAGAGAGAGAGAGAGAGAGTTGTCTAGACTCTGATGACTCCTCCTGGTTTCAGTAACTTGTGATGTTGTAGTCACTGAAAACCAACACTACAAAAGAACCATGACTGTCACAGACAGCTCACAGAGCTTTCACCTAGTCTATTGCACGACTGTGTGTATTCTCTCAAATATCATGGCTCTGTATATCCCTGCTTGATTTGCTTTTTTTGCAGTTCTATTGTGTGCTTCACTGCTTCATGAATTCTTACACTGTGCCAGCAGGAGCAGTATGAAAAGTCTGAACAACAAAGAGCTTATGGATTTAATGACTCGTACATGATAACAATAACCTCATTTGGCTGAAGCCGCCCTGTGAAATCAGCAACGCCTATAAGGCTATAGGAATTTGGCAGCCGTAGTTTGCCACGAGATATTCTCTTCAGCTCAAGCCTTAGGTAATTCTCAATGCTTCGCTTAAGAAATGGTTCACCAGGTTGAAACTCCGAAAACAGCATATCGAGAAGCTTCTCCTCACGGTAGCATGAATTGCCGCTCACGTATCTGAGAAGAACTGCAATCACCACCAACGCAAACCGCGTTCACCCACTTGTTACTTGGTAGTGCTGAAAAGGATGCCCGCTGAGGAAAGATTGGAACATTTTTACTTAACTTTTTCTGCTTCAGTGACATTATATTGACTGTTGATTACGGACCGGCGCCAACACAAAGGTGGAGTACCATAAGAGAGCGGATGGGGGAGCATCATAATTCATACGAAATGCACCGAGTCGTTGACAGTGACGGAACCTTAAAAATCCTTAAACCACCACTGCCTCCGAGCCTGCTTTTACCGACCCTGATTTTGAATGCGCACCGAGTTTTGCCGAGCCTAGGTCCCGTCTCGTTCTTTTTTGGGTACTCTTGAAGTGTAGCATTCAAAAACGAAAAGAGGCGCGAGGTATCCATTACGAGTGTTTTTTTCAAAAAAAAAAAAAAAAAAAACATGAACGAGTGAAAAAAACAAACAAACAAAGGGAACAACCACGTGGACGTGACAGCAAGTAGGTTCAATCAGCCAAGTAGTTTTGTGACTGTGCCCTCAGTATGAGGGGACGGTGCAGTCAGGTCCACGAATGAAAGAAAAAGAAAAGAAGTGAATTCAAAATACCCTATGGACAGGATAGCGGGGATACAGCATAATGAGCAGCAGTGTGTGTGTGCCCTCAGTGAGAAAGTGTCAGGGTCCGTGGCATGCGCCCTGCCTCAATGGCAGGGCATTGAAACAAAACAATAAAAGGAAAATAAAAACGGAAAACCTAAACAACGGCGCAGTCAGGTCCTTGAATGAGCAAGGAAGAAAAAAAGTAAAACTACCCTAACGACAGGATAGCGGGTAGATACAGCATCATGAGCAGTAGTGTGTGTGTGCCCTCAGTGAGAAAGTGTCAGGGCCCGTGGAATGCGCCCTGCCTCACTGGCAGTTTATTGAAACTAAACAATGAAAAGAAGAACAAAAACGAAAAGAACTAAAACTGAAACTAGCCTGATTTGTGGTGGGATTCGTTATCCAAAGTATTGGTGTGAGCTTAGGCAGGGTGGAAGGTCCTGGGTCAGGTAGGAGAAGCTAACCCCCCAGGCGTCAAACAGGCGAGGCTAGGGTTGAGGGTTTACCGTGGGGGGCGGGCGGAGTCAGGCAGGGCTAGGGGGCACGGGACAGGTAGGACCCGGTGCTCCCTTAGATCCAGGACTATCCCAGGTTTTAGTCCAGCTTGGGCAGCCAAATGGCTGAGTGGCCATACAAGCGAAGCTGGGTAAGGCTCCAAGCAATTTGTCTCAAAGTTGATGTATCAGGAACGCTGGACCCGGTTTCCAGCAGGTGCTGCTCCCACCCCAATGGATCAGAGCCAACTGCTAGAGCCCCTCAATCCCAGTGGTGCTCTTACCACTCCGGGGCCGCAGGATGTTCCCCCCACTCCCCGCGCCCCCCAAAAAGGGTCCAAGTGACACATCCCAGACTGGACAAAACCTGCAACAGAAAAAAAAAACTACTCCGAAAAATGTGAGAAATCTCAGAGAAAAACAAACGAATCTAATCTGAAAGCCCCACGGCGATCTAACCGGCCTAGGACAAACCTGTGGTCCAAAACGTGGTTGCGGCTTTTGGGCCACCCAAAAGTGGGTCATGCAGCCTGGGAGCCCCGTAGGTCCAATCTCGGGCCTCTAGGGCCTGTGTGGATGTCCGTGCATGCCACACACACACACA